ACTGGGACCCAGTACAGCCCTTTTGCATGTGGCAGGGTGTCAAATTTGGATGAGCTTCTTCTGTTGGTGGAACAACCTCATCGTTTTACAGAGAAATGCTCTTGCTGTTTCCTTAGGATAGCTTCTGCTTAGCTTTTAAAAGCAAATATGTCAATTTCTATATCCAAGAACAGTAATTTCTTTGCCACTCCTGGTTTAACTATAGACTCTCCCCTCTTGAATAACAAGATGATGCCGATACTCATTGTGTGTTCTGACTTAAATTCTTGCACAGTTCATAAATTACTTTCATAAACTTGCCAATATCACTATCATTCACATGCATTTAAAGATAAGCAGACTGTTCATTTGGGGTCATGCCTTAGCAGTCAAACTAAACCATAATTACCTTCTAGTCATGAAAAAATGCAGTTTATTTTCTATTCATATTGCATACACTGGTTGAGTGGGGAAGATACTTCTATTTCCCACTAGAGAGCTACCTCAGAGCTGGAGTTTGGCTGTTGTGATAAAACATGGTCCAAGGCAGAGCTGCCATTCAACAGTCTCTTATTAATGGCCGTATGATAAAGGGCAAGACAGTCTGGGGGATCTGCAAGCCAACCATAACCTTAAATCTTTGCTCAGACTGTCATCACAACATCACTATGTTAAGTATGACTGGTTAAACACCCAGTACAATATTTTGGCCTGGGATAAAGTTTCCTGATCTTACCAAAGCAGTATATTCATCTCTGTCGAAAACTTTACCCCTTGCTTCACAGGAATTCCTGTGTTCAGGTCTCGCAATATTTCTCAAGACTTTTCAATGAAAGAATAAGGCTCAAACAGAGAAAAGGCTGTGTAAATCAGACATTGTGCAATTTTGTTTTCTCCTAGTAAGCCAAGGTTTCTATGAGCTTTAGCTCAGTTTCCTATTTGCAAGACACAGTTAGTATTTTATAAAGCTGATGCAAATTAACTCTTTGTTACAGTTAGGGCAGTCTGCAAAAGTGACAGAAAACCTTCTCTCACCCCTACACAGTGACAGTGGAGTTTATGTTATTGTGAAAAGATAGTTTTCTTCTACTTGGTGAGCAAATGAAAATACATGGCAGTGTTAGGTACTGTGCATCTCCCAGAGAAATGTGTCTTTGGCCGAGTTACTTCTAGTATATGATTCTGCTCACACACAGCACCAGGGATTTTAGGTCCTATCAATGTAAAGCGCATCAATAAGGCAAGTCAGGGCCACTAACTTTCAATGAGAAGCTTTCAGTGAGTGCTTTCAATGTCTCTGAACCTTAGATATGGGTGTCCACGGGTCCAGGGAAGGAAGCCCTTCAGAGCAGGAAGAGCTTCTTGCTACAGTTTTATTTAGCGTTTACAAAGGAAGGAACCCACAGTGAGGCTGGGCGCTACTTTGCACATTGGAACTAAGAAGAAACTAGGCACAGTGTATTTTTCCATATTGTAAAAGTGCTCTGCCAGAGTTCATTTCCATTTGATAAGTAACCAACAAAATTGCAGCTCAAGCCTTCATTGCCATGATTAATTAATAAAAAATACAGCAAAAGCAAAACCAAGAGGAATCTTCTTTGCATACTGAAATAATTGGACCTTGCTCAAAAGAAAAAATGAAGAAAAAGTGCCCTTGTGTAAAATGTTATGGTTTGTGCTATTTAGAGCTCCATAAAACCCTGCTAATAGATTTGTTATTCCATCTTCCTTCGTAGGCAAAATTATTAGGAAACCTTACAAGACAGTCTAATGTCCTTATTAAGTTAAAAGAAGTTATAGGGTAGGGCAATATTATGTAGCTATCTAGACACCCTTTAAAAACTATGTGTTTACTGTTTTATACAAGACTCTAACGGGTCCCGTTTTGGTCCCCTGCCAAAAAGGTATCACTGTATTGACCCAGACAATACACATGAGCTCTCAATAAAACCAGCAAATCCATCTTTATACTGTGAATCTTGCTAGAATAAAAGCTTAAATATAACCAGCAAATCCATCTTTATGCTGTGAATCTTGCTATAATAAAAGCTTAAACTACTGTCTTGTTGATGCAGTCCTAGATATGAGGAAAAGATGAAGCTATGTTTTTCTGCAGGCTGCACTGCAGCAAGACAGTTACAAATGGTCCTACCCTATATTCCTAACACCAAGCTGAGACTTTAAACTGAGAGAGGCCATTAGGAAAATGAGGCCATCATTAAAAGCAGAGTCATTAAACGTTTGAATGTGTTCAGCATGCAGAGCACACCGCTGGAGGTTTCAGTGTAATCCTCATTTCTTTACCTAGTGGCAGAAGTGAGGACCTGGTGTGGTGTGATAGAAAAAGGGCCATATCCTTTGTGGTGTACCACATTCAATTAATATGTCAGGCTTTCTATGTCTGTCACTGCTCACAGGGGCTGGAACAATGGTTCTGCTTCCCCACTCCCCTCTTTTTTTCCCAATTTTCACATAGTATCAGGCTAAAAAAGAGTTATGGATTTCCTTCTCGGAGAACTGCATGGACTGATAAAGTGAAACCCATGGCAGAAAACAACTTGTTATTTTCCCCTTTACTTCACGATTTCAGTTAAGAGAGAGAGTGCAATAAATTTTTGGCGGGAAAAAAAGAAGAGACAGTTTGGGACATTTCGAACGACCGGTCTATGTAAACACCATTGAGAAACAGGGGTGAGAACAACCAGCCCTAGGGATGATTTATTTTTCTTGCTCTGAGGCCCGAGTGTCACTTTAGCTGCACCCGGGATTTTGAAACTGTGTGAAGTTCATTTGAGTAAAGAAAGGAACAAAAGGGGAACTGCTGGAAAACTGTCACAAGCTTCCATGTTCAAACACAGTATTCTTTTGCAATGAGAAAACGTTCACTTTATAACTCAACTGAAGATCTGTTGCCCAAGCTTTTCTACCGCTGTACAGTGGGAGTTTGGTCTTGCTTGTGCTGGGTACGCACCAGAACCTGTACCTGGATTGCCCAAACTGGATGAATATCTTAAGGTAATTAATGTGACTTCTAGCCTAGCAAGATTCCAGCATAGTCCATGAGGAAGCACAAAATACTGGTGCTATTGTAATATTAACAGCAAAAATGAGAACAGTAATAAGGAGGATAATAAAATCCATTCTGGAGTGCTGAGCTAAATCACTTGCTGGATTAACCAGCTTTAATGAAACTCCTCCTTTTCTGGACAAATCAGTCCTTGGTCTCCAACCAGCTGCTCTCAGGCTCTTTAGGCTCCTGCCTACAATACAGTCTCTGCCATCCCCATCCCATCTCATCCCATGGACTGGCTGTGCCCTGGCACTTGCTGCAAGCACTGCCCCATGAGGTTCAGTCTTGTTCTTTTATCAGAAGCACAAAATTTCCTCAGCAAGCCTTCCTGTGCTACTGATTAAACAGTAAACAGTTGGGTGGCTAAAAAAAAAAAAAGGCAAAAAAGAAAAAAAAAAAAGGCTGACGAAATGCAGGAAGATCCTTCTTGTTATTCTAGCAGTATTGCTTCCTTTGCTCGTAGGGGTGCTGAGGAAACGTCAGCTGCAAGCGCTGCAGAGCAGTTAGCCACTTCTTGCTCAGCCTGCAGCATCTCCCCTGCCCAGGCTAGAAGGTGCTGCGAGGCTGACTGACTCACGCGGCTCGCTGCGATTCCGCTCTCCGCCGGTGCCAGGAAAGACAGATGTAGAGGAACTTTTGACATGGAGGGGGGAGAAAAAAGAACTGATGCAAGGCTGGAGAGCAGCTAGCATTTCGGCAGGCTGCCCTGCGCTCGCCTCCCTCTCGGGGAGCGCTGATCTGCATGCAGGAGCGGCAGGGTGCCGGCGGAGCTGCTGCTTCTTGTGACACAGCAGCTGGGATGAGCCTTCCGCATTCCCCAGCCCGCTTATTAATACGAATAACTCATGACTCACACCGACACCGCCAGCGAGGCCGGGAAGCTGTAGTCTGTAACTATAAAGAGTTATGAAGTGCTGCTCTCTGGCAGCACCCGGCCAAGCTTGATGAGCGGTCTGCGACGGGCTTTGTGTGCCTTGTCATCCGCACAGGAACAGCCCTGCTGCAAAAAGGGCTTGAGCGGTCAGAGGGCTTGCGTGGAAAGGGGAAAAGTTCAGCTGTAGCATGAGCTATTTAGGAAGGCAGTTACGAGGAAGCGGAGAAGTTTCTCGTGCCAGTCGCTGGCTTACTTGTCTGAATAACCCATGACTAAATCATTAGCTCCACAGGGGGTTGTGAGAACGTTAGAAGGAGTCTCTGAGTGCTCTTGATCACTGGTGAAAAAGTCATATTGCTGGGTGAAGCCCTTTAATTCCCCTCTCAGCCCTTACAGGACTGCTTCATTTCTCTAAGGGTGGCTTCTGCTGATAATTTACAGCCATCTGAGATCTGCATGGCATCAACAGGATCTCTGAGTTTATCCGCACTGCTCCTTTTCCTGAGCCACGTGAGTTGCAGCTAACTTTAAGCAGGTTTCTAAGCTTTTCCTGACTTCTCCCCTGTGAACATGCCTTTACTCAGGCTGATGGTCTAGCATAAATGAAACAGTATCACGCTCTGCTGGCTGTATGCTCCAGCTTGCTACTCGCCCCTGGTGCTTCATCCTGTAATATGTGTCGTATGCTGTTGGCTGTCATTTTTCATGGCAGTGGCTCAAAAAGTCTTAATTCTGCCAAAAAGAATCAAAAGGGACTTGTGCTACTGCTTTTGTATCTGCAGTAATGCTTGTGGGTTATTCTAGCACATTTTGATTTATGAAGAGAAAATTCACAAGCACGCAATGGCTGTTTGAACAGCTTAAATGAGTCCTTGTTATAATCTCTTTAATGGACTGATAAGTAATGAGATGATATTCCTGAAAGCTCAGATATTAGCTTCGATGAGAGTGCCTCAAAGAAGACTGAAGTGGAAAAAAGCATGTACTACAAGAATGTTCCCAGATACTCTCCAAACATGCATTTTCTTAAGTATGGGAAAGTAAAAAGTATATTTAGAAAGTCTGAATGGTACTTACCTCTCAAGAAGTGCTGGTAAGAAGGAAGTGACTCAAATAAGTTGCTTGAAGCCATTGTTTCCTCTTTAAAACTCTCTCTTTACAGTGAAGGAATATATGATTTCTTCTACCTTGGGGAGTGAAAATTGAAGAACAGTCATTGCTACCACCCTCCTCCCAGCCATCATGCTCTGTTTTATCCCCGTGCCTCAGGAGCAGCACAAAGCAGATTATAAGGTTCTTTTGCTAAAAGAACTCTGAAATTGTTTCTTAAAAAGAAAAAAAAGTAGCGGATCGGTTGTGGTTGATGATGCTTACCACTCTACGAAACCCTGTGGTTTGCAGTCAAAACGATTTGCCCTGCCTGCTGACCAATATCCCGGACCCGCTCTTGTGTGACTGCCTCTGTACCCAACTTGTGGTTCTGTGGTTGTTTATGAGGCCCAAAGAAGTGTTTCACACAACCAAAATTACAAATTTAACTGTTCCCCTTTCCAGAACCTGCCTCCATTGGTCCCTTTGCATCATGTGACCCGAGTGATGTCGACTTTCTTTTTCTTTCTTTCCTTTTTTTTAGCTTTCTGAAGTCATGCCCTACCCACTCCACCTGCCCTCCCCGGGGCTGCGCGAGGCACCAGTGCCGTCTGCTGAGGGAGGGAAAAGCACAGTGACTCACCGCCCCTGATGCTACAAATGGTCTTGCTGAGTTAGTTCAACTCCCCTTGTTTTGTTGTGTGTGGTTTTTGGAACTACTGATTATTTTGATAGAAATTTCATTGCTGCTTATTCAATAGTAATCCAAGCCCGAGCATTAGTCTGCTGCTCAGGCAGGATGTGCAGCTAGTCCTGTAAAACACCAGGAATCAGCTGTAGGAAAGACCACTGGCTGGGGAAAGAGCACTGAGAAGAAGTTTATTAAAAAATAATAAAATAAAATAGAAAAATAAACTGTCAGTGGAGCCAAAAAAAAAAAAAAAAACAACATTATTCTGAGCCTTTTTGCTGACACCTATTAAGGTATACTTGAAAGTTGCTAGTGTATAAAAGTCCACAGGAAAGGTTTGTTAGTTAATTCCGTAAGGTCAAATTCAGTAGTATTTCTTCAGCACAGCTCCTGTTCCCATCAGAAGGATCCCTACCCATGAGAAAACCTGAGTAAAATCCTCAAGGTTTAGCTGTGTCTTGCTAGGGGATAACAAGTCTGTCCTGACCAAAATGATTCCATTTCCTTCTCCCTTCCAAAAGAATCAAAAATAAGAGGAAAATAAAAAAAGTTCCTAAACCTAATAATCAATTGGCAGTTCTGGCTCTGGCTGTGACAATGCAAAAAGATGGGAGAAAAGTCACTTACTACAGCATAGGGAAATGGCTGCTGTGCCACCTTTTGTCTCCTTTTCCTCTCTCCTGAACAGCGAGGAGCAGCCCTTTTCCACCTCACTGCAAAGCACGGGACGCCTCACACCTGTGCAGCCTGGGGTTCAGCACACTGAAACCCATGAATCCTTTGCCAAGAAACACGTGGTGATAAAAGGACTGCACCGACAGTGAGGCTGAAGCCAAGTGAGACTTCCCCTGCACCCTCTGAGTGACTACCAGGGTGAAGGAGCTCCCTTGGAAGAACAGCAAGCCGCCTTTGCAATACTATCAAAAGTACTGGTAGGTGGAGCACCAATACGTAACAACACACGGCTCCTCCCGCAAGGAACTCACAGTCAACCCCCCTGGCACACAGGTACCACTGGCACAGACTGATGCCAGACTCCTGTGTGGTTCTGCAGAAGCACCTCCCGCACTGAGGAGCAGGGATACCCAGACCAGATTAGGTGCTTAATGCACTTGGATTTTTTCTGCTTATTGCAGCTATGGAGGTAGAATGACTTTCCCTCATGCAGTCTACATTTCTAGTGCAAATGCAATCTACCTGGGCATCCTGGCTTCCTTTTAGGGTTAGTGTGGAGCTGCGTGGGGGGGTGCAGTAGGTTTCCCTTAGAAAAAGTCAGTCTGCTGAAACAGAAGCTTCTCGAGGTGTGGAAGGATGTGACAGGTCTAGTGACATGTATTACCTAGGAAATCGTGAATTTATCCCAAACTAACTTCCAGAAAATAACAGATCAATTCTCAGCAGCAAGTACAGGAAGGTTAGAACACTTTGCTACCTTGTGATGAGCCTGGCTCAAACCCCTGCTGCACTTGAATTAGACCGGTAACTCAAAGCTTGGCTTTTTTGCTCACGGGCTCTTCCAGAGCCTACCACAAACAGACCAGCTTTTTGGCTTGTCTGGGATAAACCTCTCCCCGCTCCCAGCGCTGGACTCCTTCCACTCCCCTGTAAACAATTCAACAAGTATCCGCCAAAGATGAAACCTATCAGCAACGCTGACTCCCGTGGGGCGCTTGTCTGGGAGCCAGGATGCTCCGGGAGAACACCGGGCTGCCAAGCAGTGCCCAGGGGGATGCGTGCCCCCGGGCGCTGCTGGGCTAGGGCCGGCAGAGGGAGCTCGGCCCGGCAGGACGAGCCTGCAGCCAAGGAGAGGAGCATCTTTGGAAGGGAGAAAGCCCCAAAGAGGGCCAAGTTTGGAGTAAGTGACACAGCGATCTATCCGCGTGTGGCCGAGGTGGAAATGGTTGTTGGCTCTGGTTTTCCCTACGTGGTTAAGTTGCGCCATAAGGTATGATGCAGCTGGAAGTCAAGCAACCTGTTGTATGTGCATCCAGCACACAAGCTAGTTTCAGCTTCACTTTCTCAGGTGCCCCAGAAACCTAATTGTGCAAGTTTAACTCAGCTGGTTAGAGAGCAGAACGAAGATCTTAAGGCACATAAGACAGGCTCCCAGATTTCATAGAATCATAGAATGGTTAGTGTTAGAAAGGACCTTAAGGTCACCTAGTTCCAACCCCCCTGCCAATGGGCAAGGACACCTCACAGATCCATCACTATATAAAAAACAGATTTTTAAATCAGGGACACAGAAAAGATATATAATGTGCTGAGTTGCCTGTGATTATATATCTGCTCTGTCCCAGAGGCAGGATGTATTATGAAGATTTAAAATTACATCAGATATTTGAGATGAGGCCAACAGGAATGTATTTCAGAAGGCGCAAGGAACAAGGCTGCTGCAGGGGTGCAATTGGGCAAGCTCACTGCTGTGGCAGGGAGACATCAGACTCCTTATTTCTGACCCTTTGTCTTAGCATCAGGTAAAAAGACCCTTCCTGCAGGAGCCCTAGTCCCTGTCTGCTTCAGAAGGCAGCACCAATCAGAGCCTTTAAACCACTATTTGTGCTGCATTTGATTTCATTTTTGTAATACTCAACAGGCTAGGGCAGGAGAGCTGCCAGGGCTGGGACAGACACCCAGACAGCTACAGCATGTGCCACGAGCATCCATAGCGTTCTGGGCAGCACCCGGCAGCGCAGCGTGCCAGTGCACTGCAAATGTCAGCTATGTTAATACCTTCACCTCAGTCATCTGCCATGAAGGCCAGAGCATAGCTATGCTATGCAACAAGCAACAGTTGGGCTGGTTTTGTCATCTCATGGCTAGGGTAGATGATGCAAGAGAAAAGCCTGAGTGTTTCGACACGTAGCTTGCCACTCCGGTCAGTTTTCTGCCAACAGTCAGCTGTAAATAGTGCACAGGAATATGCTTTATTAAGGTCTAACCATGCTGAATTTTCAAGGAAAGGATAGTACTATGTGAGTCTGAGCTACACTCAGTCAGGATGATGGACGATTCTTCTCCCAGGCCACTGCTACACACAGCAAAGCTGTGAATCCTAAAAAAGTGGGCAAGGGCTGCTGGCAATGCTCACAGTACCATTTTATGCTGGGTGCACATCAGCTGTTCCTGCAGGCTTACAATAAATCTATGTCAAATGTACTGTTAGCATAGCTGGCATTGTTCAGAGGAGAGGAATAAGCTGGATCATTTCACAATTCATGCCCCAAGGAGGGCATCCAAATGTTGCTATGTGAGCTGTGTCACCATTAATGCCACTCTCAATTTTCTTTAAAAGCTGTTCTGTAGAGGCCCTTAAAAACCTTATGTCACTGGTACTTAGGCATCCTCTGCTTTCTAATGAATAAGTGTAAGATAATGATTAACTTTCAGGAAATAATATCCATTTTAGGTCATAAAGCTGACACATTGTGAAACGAATCAACAAGTGATCACACGACAATGGAAAGATCAAATTATCATGCCAGTAATGTTTAATTTGATGTATGGGGTAGGACTTAGGTGTACTGTATTTGCTGCATTAGTACTGCAGAGCCTGGCCTGTTGTCTGGGGTTGTTGGCTGGAACATGACCTACAGTAAACAAGCCCTGACACCAGGCATGTGCATACTCTGAAGTCTTGGTCAATGGATCCCATTTGAAGTCTCATGAGGTTGCCAAAATTTGGAAAAACCCCATCACCACTCCTTCCCTCAAACCCTCAACGGAAGTCCACTTTTTAAAGAGCAAATACTTCAGGTTTCACCAACCTGAACAATAAATTAACACAGGGAAAGCTCTGAGCGCTAAGATTTATCGGTCTCTACATCTAAACTGACTTCTTCCCCTCACAGAGCACAGTAGTGACCCGACCCCACCAGGGTATGCCCTGGAGGCCAGCCACCCTGCAGGCTGCAAAATCCCACAAGCTACTGAGAGGTCCAAACCAGAATGATTTAGGAATTATTTTGGCTGCTCCCAAGAGGTGTTCAGAGGTCAGGTTTACAGTTTGCGGTCTGACACAACAATATAGGGAGGTGCGTAGTCTCTCCATCTGCCCTACAAGTGACCGGCTGTACATAAACAATGGCTTCCTTCCCTCCACTTATAGCAGCCTCTCAGTTTTCATCCTCTTTTCAATTTAGACTGGCTTTAATCCCTCAAGATCTTCCAGACAGGCACCGTATGTCTCAATGCAGCAGGATGTGTTTGACCCTGGAGCATAATCTGCATATTAGATGCACTCCCTTGCTCTTCTCTATAACAAACAAAGCCTTGACTTCACAGACTGAAATGTGTGGTGGGCCTGGCCTCACTCAGACAAAGCCGGTTGGGTTCAAGCACAGGCAGGATGGACAAGTGCTAAATGGACGGAGGCAAGCCAGAGCAGAATACAAGGAGAATGACATTCTCTTACATCCACTTGTCTATTCCACGAGCCAGAGCAAATGCTCACACTGAGAGGACAAAAAAATCTCCCTGAGATTGGCGTGGAAGGGCAATTCCAAACCTTGAGCACTTCAGTTTGGGTAAAGACCTTATTCAGCCAAGGCACACCACACTGCTCCTCACAGCACCCTCTCACC